ACATTCACCATACGAAACACAGCAGCGTTAAGCTGCTATGTTACGCTAGTATTCTGAGAGACGTGGTCCATTCCCGTTCGTGCTACAACTATAATAGCTGCAGCATGACACTACCAAATAAACATTTATTTTTTGCTTTATTTTAAAACTAAATCGTTTTTATATTGTTGCTCTAAATCCAATGGGATAAGGGAAAGAAGGATGCGTTACATTCTTGTCATAAAATTTAGACATACTAAAAATAATATTTAACCATGGACGTATTTATACGTCCGTGTATTTAACATAAAAATTTTCTACATCCTGATTATCCCAGGTCACTCACTTATAATATTGTTGGCGAGAAAGTATACTGTGCCAACCTAGTGTAATATTTGACACTTGGTTTGAAGTAAACTTGTGGGCGCAATTGGGTTACCCAGAAGTGTGGGCGACGCTCACACCGCCTAGTTAGCAAGTATTCGCTATTATAAATTACCTCTGTTTAATCGCTGATAAGCTGAAACTGGTTTAATTTGAATTATGGCAGGGTTAGCTTTCTATTTCAAGCAAAACTCTAGGTTCGTATCCTTTTTCTTTTTTATATAGAATAAGGGCGACAAACGAGCACACAATCCACCTGATGGTAAGTGTATGATGTGACCCATAGACATCCATATCTATCCTCAATAAAGAATCAAAATGCAGATGCGTTGTTACCCCTGAGGACCAAGAGAGAATTCCTCGTTATTAGTAAAAAGGATCTCTACATTGCTATTGCGCTTATCTGCACTCCATCTATCTTTGGTCGTGGAGGGAAAGGGGAGAAATCGAATAGATCGATATATCGATCGATTTAGACTTCGATGTGTTTCGTCGTGACGTGAGGACAGCGCCGCCACTTATCTGTCCGTCCATCTCATGGTAAGTGGATGTTGTGCCAATGATAGGCTTAGATGAGCGGGACACTTGAAAAAAATAGATAACCTCAGAGCTGCCAAAACTATCTGCAAATCGATCTCGCAACAGAAAAGATCCGGGAAGCGGTAGAGGGGTTGTGTCTAGGATTGTGCCTACATCCGGTCAATCCTAGATTAAAAATCTAAAAATTTTGTTGTGTTACGAGGGGCACACTGAAATAAAACCTTTTTTAGAATTTGAATACTGGCCTCTTAGAATCTTAATGTCATTCAAACAATTAATAAAAATGTTTAAAAACAAAAACTATGTTGGTTTAAAGTTGACACGTCGTTAACAGAAATGGAGCTCACGTGTGAACATTTCCGTGCCATAATTTATCACAATTTTCGTCGCGGCTTATCTCAAGATAAATGTCTCAGCGAACTTATTTCGATTTATGATGTTGAAGCACCGAGTCAAACGACAATATACCGCTGGTATGCCGGGTTCCGACGCGGTCATGTGTCGCTCAGCACTGTTTCTTCTGCAGGTCGACCAAGAGCAGCGGTCACACCTGAAAGCATCGCAGCTGTGCGAACTATTATATTAGATGACGGTCATGTGACATACGAGCAGATTCGGGCTGTTATCAGTATCGGAATGACTGCAATTCAGTCGATATTACATAATGAGCTGTCTGTAAGAAAGCTAGTTTCCCGCTGAGTTCTCCACGATTTGTCCAAAGAGCAAAAGGCGGCTCATGTAGATTGGTGCAATCTACATGAGCCGCAATGCAATCATAACACAACTGCAGTGTGACTCTACCACGTATACTACCTGAGGGTATCACTGTTTTAGAACTATTTGTTTCCTATAAAGAATGGTACATTTACATACATATTTTTTATTTCCTAGAACAAGCTAGTTCGGTTTCTCTCGCGGAACAACGTTGAATGCCGTGAAAACTGTAAACTATTTATATATGTATAATTATAAACAAATAAATATAGCCTTCACTCTATAATAAATACAATCCCAGTCCATTGGTGTTATTTATAATGCAAACTTGTAAATAATACTGTATTTTAAAACAACCGTTCAAAATAAAAACTCTTTAAAAACTTATGTAGATTTAAAAAAAAGCATATTTAATCAAATCAGGCGTTATTTGTGGAAATCAATTGACATTGAATCGATATTAAAATAATTTGCTGGGATCCATGTAATAATAAAATAAAAATTATGTGTCTTACGTAATTTGAATTTGAAATGCGGGAACTGCTCTACCTCCCTCATTTGCATGATCTGCCACCGTTACCACTAATCGCAATACCAATAGCCCAATCGCCTATACTCTAGGAAGGACACACCACCGTCGATAATACCACTCGCGCTTCATTTTCAAAGGAGACATCATCAGGAAAAATTGACCCCGCAACATCTTAAATCAACTCTATATTATAACAGTTCATTTGCTTAATGCTTATTTTGTATAAAATGTATAAATAAATAGTTGTAGTTGTAAACAGTGTAAAATGGATCTTGTTATTAATAATCAAATCATAAATATTAAGATATTAATATCAAGTCACTTATAGAGGGAATTTTTCAATTCAACCAGTGCGTGTTGCCAGTGATGATTTGTGGTCTGGTCTGGTCCTTCACTGCTGGCCGCATGAGAAAGCTCAAGGTCGCTCAGCGAGCTATACAGAGGGCTATGCTCGAGGTTTCTCTGCGTGATAGACGTAAAAACGAGGATATCCGCACTAGAACCAGAGTAACCGACATAGCCTAACGGATTAGTAAGCTGAAGTGGCAATGAGCCGGCCATATAACTCAATGAACCGACAACCGATGGGAAAGAAAGGTTCCCCATCGGTTCATTCGGATCTAGAGTGGCGGCTTCGTACCGGCAGACGAAGTGTAGGGCGTCCCCTCACTAGATGGAGTGTTGACCTGGTAAGACATGCAGGAAGTCAATGGATGCAGGTGGCTCGGGATCGTGCTTTGTGGCGTTTCTTGGGTGAGGCCTGTGTTCAGCAGTAGACTTGTCATGGGCTGTAATGATGATGATGATGAAATAGAGGGAAAACGTGCAAACAATAATAAAAGAAAATGATTTCCTTAGTTGTTTCTTTTAATTTTAGTTAAATTTCGTTTTCAATAAATGAACCTTGAAATGCATCGTCAGTGAGCAGCATCATGATTAAATAAGTCTGTGAAGACTTTTTCGATCGTTAATTCATTCGTCCATTGCTGAACCTTCCCCATAAGTGTCACATGCGGTAGAGCCATGCTGCGGCTATATTATAGTTATAGCACGAATAGATCGGCCCGACCGGGACGGACCACGCTCTCACAGAATACCAGTGCAAAGTATGGTGAGTGTAGAGAAACGGAAACCCTTTCTACTGGAAACGAGGCATTCGATATTAGTCTGCATTTTGTTCCTTAATCGACGATAAATGTAGATGTCTATGGGCCACAGCATCCACTTACCATCAAGTGGACTGTGTGCTCGGTTGTCAACCTTACTCTATAAAATAAAAAGACAATACGCCTCTTAAGGGGATATTTGCCATAGATGCCACTCATCAGGCGTATTTTTAATACTTCGAGTTAACTTTACCAGGAAGGTACTGTTGCCCATTTTATATTTCATTTTCCTCTGTCACCTCTCATGACACCCACGAATATAGCGTGGGCAGTGGATCCTCTTTTATGCCACCGAAGGCTTTTTATACAAAGACTACAATGAAAACATGGATGCCACTTGTAACTAGGACACGTAACTGAAAGCATACTGTTACTGTAACGTTACAGCCTATAAAACTCCACTGCTGAACATAGACATCCCCCGTACATTGCCTCATAGGGGAGATATTTGCCGTAGTTGCCAAACGGGTTGGCAACCGCAGTTTTTTTTTAGTCGTTATTACGAAACGTCGCTGCTCTGTTCTGTTTTGTTACTCTCTTAATAATCAATAATACACACTAAGAATCACCTAATACCTTTAAATTACAAATTACGACCCATTATTCAAACTTCAGATAAAAGTTATCCATTAAATAAATTATAACCTGACTAAATAAGAAACTCATACAATTGAACTATTTAATCAAAAACAATAATCTTGTAATTTGTTTAAGTTGTATTTTAACCTATATAACTTTTATCTGGGGATTGAAAAACCTGCCTTAATTTGTTTAAAAGTATTCGGTGATTCTATCTAATTTTTATTTGAATACATTCAGTTCTAATAGTGTGGGTGTGTTGAGATTTAAGTTATCAATAAATCAGCTCCCGGTTCTGCAATTATCATCTAATGACTTTTAAACCGTTTTAATACTTCTATAAATAGTTGTATATATTTTATAGATTTCATTAAAAAGATTACGAGTGAATAATTTATATTAATATCACCTATCTCGTCCTAAACAGTCGACAGATTTAAAACCCATCGCCTTTTTTATTAAATGTACATACTTTTATGACTTAAAACGTTATTTATTTTAAACCAATTTCCTTTTAAACTCAATGTACATATTCTTATAATAATTAATGCTTTTATTAACACCATTGAAAGTTACTTAAGTAAGTACCTACCCATTTTGTTTGTTTTCTGTAGAGTACATATAGTCGCCTTAGTACCTACAGTTATATTTCGGATTTATTTATACCTAGATTGTAGTTCTATCGAGTTCTGGCGTTCCGCAAATAGTACATATTATAAGAAGAAGAAGAATATCCCATACGTTAGTTAAGTATTCGTGCAAGAAGTTACGCAAACGCAGGACGTGTCCAAACAAGGCAGGCGGGGCAGGTAACGCACCCCGCGGCCGCTGTGATGGCGCCCGAATTAGACGCGCCGAAACTAAATACCCAAATGCGATTGTCCGGCTGCCAAATACGGCACGAATCTCGGGTTTCCCGGGCCCCCGCGGCCCCCTCTCCCGCCGTTCCCGTGGAAAACGCGTAAAAACTGTCTTATTTCTGTACACGCTAAATTTAACGTATGGTAAGCGAAAGCGATCGCGATTTTGGTGGAGCGCGTTGTCTGTATTTAGATTAGAGCGGTGAGACGCGACAGTGCACGCCGCGAAGCGAGTGCATCGTGCGGATGTCACACATGGTGCCCGAAGGAGGTGATTATCATAGTGCGTGATACGTGTGTCCGATTATCATAGTGCGTGTCCGGCCTTATCAGTGCCCTTGTTTACCAAATGTGTTTATGTTCCACACGAGCCTAATTCAAATTGTTTGCATTTTTGGTGATTAATTTACTGGGCGCATCCAAATGGCCTGCTTTGGTGATATTTTTTAAAAGCAGTATTTTATAACAAGCCTGTTGCAATTAATAGTGAACGAAAATTATATTCAAGTTTTTTTTGTTATTATTAAGTTTATTTTTTGACAGATTTTTTTTTAATTTGTGTTGTTTTCTTTAATAATTAGGCCGTTTATGGATTGGTTTGCCATAAACAGTTTTAACGTTTTTAACGGTATTGTTTTGAGTTTTTCTTGCACTAATTTACACGTGGACATTTAACTAAACCCAATGTGTGTCATTCGTTCGTTACATTTGTCGATACAGTTTGCATCTTATTACTAATTAGATAAACATTAATTTCGATCGGTATGCCGATACAGTGTGGGTTGCTGTACTTGTGAAATTGTGTACACAATTTGTAAGCACGAAAGCTTCATAGTATGTCCAAAAATGAAGTGACAAATTGTCACCTATAGCGAAATGTGAATTGTTACGGGCAGGCATTAAAAACACACTAGTATAATTTAATATCACTTCTATCCCCTTGTTTTAGAGTTTACAATTGATATTATTCTATGAGTTATAGTACGGCGTTTTCTAAATATACACATCTGTCACACATCGAGATGTTTTCCGTTATCAGGCACGGGTTGAGCAACGGGGTTATGTTACTTAACTATACTTCTGATAATTATTACAACTTCATTATACTATCTGAGTTTGTAACTAATCATAGAGAATATTACATATTACATCGATATTTCGATATAGTTGAGGAAATTTTAAAATTCGAGCGAAGTACCTTAAGTTTTAATCTTCAATCATAATATTATTACATTTTTTTACGGAACGGTGTGCTGATATTATTATAATTCTTATGACCTACGAAACAAAGACTATAATTTTCTTTCTGGTTTCTATTAAAGTAAACAAATAAATATCCACATCCACACACTGAAAATCCCTAGTTTCTGTATCGTGGAGGCGATTTCCATATATACATTGCACACGGACAAACAATAAGACTCGAAACGATTATTTGTAAGCCATTTAATTATTTGTTTAATGCGGGAATCGAACCTAATCTAAGAACCAATCAAAGCCCAACCGAGCCGTCAATTATAATTAATAATTCTCATAGTAGCAATAAGATATTTATAGTTTTAAAATTTCGAATCAAATCCATTTACATAATTTATTGAACACCTTAATTGGTTACTGATGATTAGTTAATGAACTTACATTTATAAAGAAGTTAAATTAAAAATAAGCATCTAGCTAATTATTATTACCGTACATATAGGAACTCTTTTATTGAATAAAAAATTAGGTACGAATTTTATAGCGGAAGTTATAAATTCTCGCTATTTCGAACACTCTGTATCATATTTGTGAGTATGACAGATTAAATCCGTAAAAAATATAGTTTATTAAGTACATTGTAATAACTAACCTAAATATATTAAATGAAATCAAATCAGTTTTTTTTGCAATCAAAGTGTACATAATTGGTCTTAAAAATGTGCTTACAACTTAGACGACCATTTCAGGCACTGCAAATGCAAAGTGACAATGACAATGTTTATACATAAAATATACAATATACCTACTTAGAAGCATTATAACAATATAAGAATACATAATAGTGTTACCTTTTATCTAAATACTCTTCTATTTTATTTAATCTCTGAAAATAAAATAAATATCTGAAATATAAATATGTGAAGGCTTCTATTTAACACAACATATCCGAAACATATTTGCTATATATTGAATTGGAATAATGCTATATATATTGAAATGGAAATGTACAAACTGTTGATTTTGATTATATGAAATAAAAAAATAAAAAAAATAATCTGAGCTTAATAAAGGATGGGCCATCTGTCAGTTCTTTTTTCATTTGTAAATAAAACAGAGAGATGATTTTGAGATGAAAAGTCAGTTTTTTTTAAAATTGATAATGAAAGATGGTTCTATGCCATTTATGTTTTAATAATAATATCGTTTATATGCCCATCTGAGCTTCGTCTACAGACCGGCATTGGAAAATCAAAATTTTTGATGACTTTTTCCAATAAAAGATCAATGACTTCAATTTCAGCTCGAATGTTGTTTTTAAGTTGTTGTATTGTTTGTGGATGATTAAACATACACCTTACCTTTCAAATAACCCCACAAACAATAATCAAGTGGTGTTAAATCCGGACTTCTTGGTGGCCAAGGAACTTCAGAATTTCTTGAAATTATCAGCAAATTTTGTTGACAATAAATAGAGTGATTCACGTCTTGTTGAAACCAAAGGTCGTTGACACCCAATTCATTTAATTTTGACCACAAAAAACCATTTAACATGTTACGATAACATTCCCCATTCAATGTAAGGGCATATTCCTGTTCGTTTTCAATGAAAAATGGCCCGATGATGCCACCAGCCCATAAACCACACCAAACAGTGACTTTAGGAATATGATGTTCTGCTTCGTGAATAGCATGAGGATTCTCCGCTCCCCAAATTCGACAATTTTGCTCATTGACGTACCCATTAAGATGAAAATGGACTTCATTTTTTATGAAAAATCTACATTTCGTTCAAGCATCCAATTGACAAAACGATGACGCTTGGAATGTTCTAGTTCAATTGTTGAGTTAGTTGAATTTTGTATTTCGTGATGTGGTTCGTGAAATGTTTAGTGCCTGTGAACGATGTCTGGTTGATGTGCTTGGTTCATTACAAATACTTTCACTAACAGCTGCAACATGTTGATACGGTCTACTACCTTCTACTGAACCAGTTTCCTCAAAACGATCAATAACTTTGCCAATTTCACGGCCAGTAGAACGTCCTTGTCACCTAATGTTGTTCTTTTTGAACGACCACTTTCAAAATAAAGGACAATCAAAATACGCTGTTGTGTTGTTAGCGACTCCATTATTACAAATGGCATATTTCTGACTTTTTCATGTCAAATAATTTTTAGAAATCGATTCATCGATTCAAAAAAGGACCAACCCAAAAGAAAGATGGCCCAACCTGTATAAGCCAGTTATTTCAATATTACAGACAGATACTTTAATTTTTTTTTAAATATATACATATATAACAAGTTATAAAAAAATCCAGTTATTATTGTACTCTTATATTAAAATAATCGAACCGTTAAAAAGGAACAAAAAGAAAATAGTTTCATTTTTTCCAAATTTTTTCATAATTTTTCTATATCTTAGTACCTTTCTTAAGTTTAATTTATTGACATTTTTGAATGGTCTAAGGAATCTCCAGGTAACAACTAGACATTCTAAATTGTTACATTGAAAATTTCATCCCTTATTTTTCCCACCCGTAATGGTGTAATTAGTTCTTCAATTATAAATGTAACGACTCTTAAAGTATAGCCTTATCATCATCATCATCATTACAGCCCTTCACAAGTCCACTGCTGAACATAGGCCTCCCCCAAAGAATGCCACAAAACACGGTCCTGAGCCACCTGCATCCATAGACTTCTTGCATGTCTTACCAGTTCGTCACTTCATGTAGTGGCGGTCGTCCTACACTTTACCTGCCTGTACGAGGCTGTCACTCGAGAACCTTTTTTCGCTATCGTTTGTCGGTTCTTCGAGGTATATAGGCGACAAATTGCCACTTCTGTTTACTATTTCGTTAGAGTAGCCGAAAAGTATTGCCTATTCAATTACAAAAGGATTATAATAGACAAATAACTATATTAGACAAACTCACGCAACACGACCAACAACCAACCGTTTCGTTTGGTGAGTAAAGAGAACCGGAGACCCTTTTAACTCTAAAGGAGGCATTCCATATTAGTCCTCAGGGGCGACAGTGCATTTGCATATTGATTTTTAATCGAGGAAAATATAAATGTCTATGCGCCAGTATGCACTTACCATCAGGTGAACTGTGTGCTCGTTTGTCACCCTTACTCTTTAAAGAATATACAAAATCACATTAGTGCGTGTATATGTCGAAGATTTTACTATCAGCCTTGAAGCATTTATAGCTTCAGGTTTTACGACTAACTAGCTAGACGTAGAGCTTAGAGAGAGAAACAAACATAATCTGTAAGATACATTCGTAGAGTTCACTTTTGTCTCCAAACTTAACTGGAAGTGCGTAGCGACATCGCACTACCAGATGTCCCACACCTTCGACATTGCTGCCTGTTGTTGGATATTCTATCTGGTTCTGGGTATTTTACGCTTAGGGTAAACGAAGTTATATCGGAAACTATATCTTTATCTTTTTCCATAGTCACCTCTAATAAGATCCAAGGACTGGACGAAATGTGGTGATATCTTTTACGCCATCACAACTATGAACCTATTATTTTGACGGCTCCGTGGCGTAGTGGCTTAGCAATGAATTACAGCGCTAAGGGCCGCGGATTCCAATCCCGCACGGACCAAGTATATGTATGGCAAACAAATAATTGTTCCGGGTCTGGATGTGTGTCCTCGTCCAATATAATGTATGTAAACTGCCCAACAGGAGAAAATCCTAGTGGACTGAATCCGAGAACAAGAACAAAACATTTTTTTTTTTAGTTATTCACCATCATCATTCCTAATTACAGCATTACAAGTCCACTATCACCAATCAATCTTAAAAAGAAAAAAAATCTTGCCAAAATGAAAACTATTTTACTATACCCATTTTTAAAAAAAATCTAAAGCTGTATGACTTAAAAATATCTATACAGATCAATTGGTTGACGTTCCGTAGTACAAAACCAATAAACAAAGCCGAGTTGTCCGCCCACGTGCTGATGGGAAGTTGTATGTGTGCACCAAACCCAATAAAATTGCATGCGATAGTGGGCCTAGTATTAATAGAGTTAAGACGCTAAATATCGT